CCCCCCCCCCCCAAAACCCCCGGGGGGGGGGGGGGGGGGGGGGCGGGGGCTGGGGTGTCTCCCACCCTCCCAGCTCCATCCCCCCCCAGGATAAAACATCCTTAAATGCTGGGAAAATAGGACCTCAGCTCTGGTGGGGGGGGATTTAATTCCAGCGCTGAGCTAATGGGAAGGCACCAGTGGCCTCCCAGTTTACCCAGCACATACCTCAGCCGGGCTGGGCTCTTTTTATTTCCAGCTTTGAACTCTGCTGGGGACAGGTACAGGAGAAAAGCTGCTTCTCGGAGGCAAAAAACCCCCCGGAGCTAAAATTAAAACTCGAAAAAAAAAAAAAGTCCCCTCGTCTCTCTCCCCCTCCTTAGAGTTGGGTCAAAAAGGGGAAGAGAAACTTTGAAGAAGTTTTCGCAACTTTTTTTTTTCCGGCTTTGCCACCGAAAAGGGGCAGGACGTCCCCTCCCCGGGGGGGGTGTGACAGCTTGGGGACGGTCGGGGTGGGGGGACAATACATTGCTCTCCTGGGGGGGGACCCCACCGAAGCGTCCGAGTGTTGGGACACCCCCCCTCTGCGCTGCTACAGCCCCAGGAGAACACCCAAAACCTCGCTCCTTCGCCCCAAAAATCTCTCTCCTGCACCCCATCTCTTCTCTCCTTCACCCCAAAACCTCTCCTTTTCCCCCCAAACCCCTCTCCTGCACCCTGAAATCCCTCGTTCTTCATCCCAAAACCCCCTTCTCCTGCATCCCATCTCTCCTTCACCCCAAAAACTCTCCTTCACCCCCAAACCCTCTCTCAATCCTCAAAACCCCTCTGTCCTTCACCCCAAACCCCTATCCCCTTCATCCCATCTATGCTGCACCCCAAACCTTCTCTCCTTCACCCCATCTCTCCTCTGCCCCGAAACCACTCTCCTTCACCCCAAAACCCTCTCTCCTTCATCCTCAAAACCCCCTGTCCTTCACTCCAAACCCCTATCCCCTTCATCCCATCTATCTCGCACCCCAAACCCTCTCTCCTTCGCCCCAAAACCCCTCCTTCATCCCCAAACCCCTCTCCTGCACCCCAAAATCCTTCTGTCCTTCACCCTAAACCCCGATCCCCCTCCATCTCATCTTTCCTTTGCCCCAAACCCCCTAGTTTTCACCCCAAACCCCTTCTCCTGCAGCCCCTGCTGCCCACTCGCGTGGGGACCGCTGGGTCCCCAAACCCAGGCCAGGCTTTGGGTTTTTTTCGGGGGTGATGCCACCCCTAAAAAATCCCCTCCCAGGGCAGCAGAGCCGGCTGCGGGGCCTGTTTGCCCACATACCAGCCACCGGGCTAATTCACCGCCCTCCCCAGCCCAGGAGGAGGAGGAGGAAGAGGAGGAGGAGGAAGAGGTGACCCCACTTTTTCCCATCCCACAGCAAAACCCAAGATGTCAGGAAGCCAATTCCCCCCAAAAAATAAACCCGGGAGAGGTTTGATTTTCCCTTCGTCTCCCTTGAGGAGCGGAGCTTTTTCTGTTTCCAAGAAAAAAACCCCAAAATCACCCAAAATAAACCCACTCAAGTCTCAGCCTCGAGCAGAAAGTGTAATCACCCCCTTAAATCACCAGGAGAGGGCTCGGAGTGGGGGGACCCACCTTAGAAACCCCCCCGGAGGATTCTCGGACGAGGGGTGGATGGAGACGACGCAGCTGGTGGGAGGTCCTGGGGGGACTCAGCACCCACCAGAGAGGGGACAAAAGGGACCCATCGCCACCTCGGAGGGCCCCAACTGGAGAAAACCCCCCCTCCAGCCCAAAATTAAACCAGGAAAGAAAAAAACAGGAATTAAAACAGGAAAAAAACAGGGATCGGTGCTGGGAAGCTTTTCCAGCCACAGCTCCCTGGGAGCCTGACATGGAGTTTGGGGGCGAGGGGGGGTGTCTCAGTGGTTCCCCCCCAAATCCTTTCAGACCTCAACTGTTTTTTTTTCACCCCAAAACCAGTATCAAAACGGGGCCGGAACGTCACATCCTCCCAGAGGCCCTGGGTGAGTCCGACGGCCAATTTCCTCACGGCGGATCAAGAGCTAAAGAGGCTGCCAGGGCTAAAAAAAGAGGAGGAGGAGGAGGAGGAGGAGGAAGAAGAAGAGGAGGAGGCTCCCCCAGCCTCGGATGGGTGGTCTCCGGCGCGTTCCTTCCCCCCTGCCCCACCTCCGAGGGCAGAACCAGCCCCAAATACAGGAACTGGGAGTCACCCACGCGTTTCTCCGGCGCCTTCAAAACAAGCCCCGACTCGAAGCCTTGAAAAAAAATAAAGGGGGATCCCTCCAAACCCTTTGGAGGAGTCGGGGGCGGGGGGGGGGGGGGGCGAGACCAAGGGGCCCCACGGG